GTTTAATACCATTGAAATATTCGATTTATCGTATTGATTATTTATTTAATATAACATCATGTTTTTCATAGAAATAATTTCATACATATATATATATTTATGTACTTATAAATAAATAAATAAGATTTCTGCTGATAGTTGCACTTATTTTGTTGATTTCCATGTTTTAGGTATTCTTGAAAAAGAACAAGAGCAAAGTGTTGTGTATGGATCAACAGATTTCGGTAAAAATTGTACAACAAATGACAAATATAAAGATCTATTGGAAAAAGTTTCAGCTATGCTGAAAATTAAACCACATTCAGTTAAAACAGAAAAAGAAAATAGTATAAAATTATTGACAGCTGTCGAATGTAAAGGCATAAATTGGGGGTGTCGTCGATCTGAAGAAGTACCATTTATTGTTTTCTTCCATCAGAAGCGTCATAAATGAAAGCTGACCCTTGAAAAGTTCTTTTTCATTGATTTCAATTGTTCAATGTAGAATCAATAAAAATCTCGTTCTATTTTTTAAAAGAGAAAGAGAGAAGGAACAAAAAATTCAATATTCTTCACCACAGGCAGTCTTATTACATTTTTTTCCGAAATAAAACAAAATATACGTTAAAAAGTAATGCATCAGCATCAAGCAATGTGTAATAATTTTTATGCACCTTACCCTCCGCTGCCGTATCATCAGCATCATGGGCATAATATGTGTTCACCATACGAAATGATTAATCCATTATCTGCTCCGGTTGTAAATAATTTTGTTCCGCGACATTATCATGATCATCCGTGTAGACAAAATGTTCCGCGATTTGATTACTCATATTGTGATTATGTTCCTCGGCGACCAGTCATTCAAACGAATGTTCATAATGATGTTTGCTATTATCTTGATGATCCTTGTGATAAATACGACGATGAATATGAAGATTCTTATAGATTATCTCGATCTAGAGTTCAACTTGTCGATATAGTTCCTAAATATCGACCTCGACGAAATAGTAACCGTATGGTTGTATCAACATTTCAACCACGACAAAGGCAGGCATCAGAACGTATTATTATACCTCGTTCAAATGTTGTGCGAACAAATAGAAATCCTTCATACGAAAGACGCCGACATAATATGAAATTAATGCCATTAAATCGTTCAGTTGAACCACAATATCGACATCGATCAATTGCGAGAGAAATGGTTCCAGTAGCAATAGTAGAAAAGTCATATCCACAAAGACAATCGATTAGAGTACGCACATTGTCACCATTTTAAGGATTCAAAAGAAAAAGATTCTATTAATTACAGTGAAATATTTTGTTGCGTGAAATCTGCTGCATACGATTTTCTTTTCCAGTAATAATAAATATACGGAGTGAATGGTACAGACTGTCATTCATATTGAGACAGAAAACTATGAAAGCCATATCGTTACAATTTGAATAAATTGTGAGTGAAGTTAGAACATCAGTTTGCTTTTTAACCTGATGAATCGAAAAAAACAATTCTATCCTCTTTTAGCAATCAATGAGTATATATAGTTTGAAAAACTCAAGAACTATTCATTAGAAAACATTCGTACGTTTTATAGACAAATTTCAACGGTCAAAATATTATTATGATCTCACAGCTTCGGATAGTATCATGTATGGGTTTATTTTTAATGGTTTTATTTAGAAAATATTCGCGTTTCATCAGAGAATTTCAAGTTATCGTCATCAACTTGCGTCATCTGTTTTTGTCCGAAATCGTCATCGATTGGTTTCGATCAATTATCAATAAAGTTTGTACTTCAAATTGAAAAAAGAATGAATATTCAGTTCAATTCTTGAATAGAATTCTACCGCTGTACCTTTTTATTTTCAAGATGAGTAATTTTTTAAAATCAATTCAACCAACACTTAATGAAATTGTTTATGATATAACTGGATTAGCTGTAAGATATTTTAACTAAAGGATAAATTCAAGATTTTTATTTCATTTTATCGTAGCTGTCGGATAGATTTAATCCATATAAAAAATTATTCGAAGACTCAATTGTACATCGTTCGAATATCAATATTGAAAAATGTAAAGTTGAAAAAAATTATCAAGGGTATTTCATATGATTTTAATTTTCTCTATTTCATATACATATATTGTTTTATATTATTCTATTAGATTAAAAGAAAAATATATAATTCATGCACAGGATAAAAAAGCTGATCTACTACAATTTCTTGTTAAACGTTTTAATAACAGACCTATACTTGATCATTCACCAGAGGTAAATTATCAATAAGAATTAAATATAAATATTTTCGATTTATGATTAGAGTGAATTTCATCAAGCATGCTTACAATTAATTATTTCATTAGCTCAACGACCATTAGAAGTTAAACTTGATAATTTCTCAGATCTTGTACAAGAACAAATTGGTAAGTTTCAAGAATTTTATCCTTCTAATTAAAATGTATCGAAATAGAATTCTCAAAAGTCTTGTTTTATTGATATATTCTTGTAATTTGAGATACTTATACTTTCTAGGATTTAACGAACTGTAAATTATCATGTTTCTCGCTAGTGAAAGTTCGTTGAAACTCTGTAAACTGCAAAAGACAATTTCGATATGTATCTAAGGCAGATTCACGTTCCGGGATAGGACTAATTGCACAAGTGAATTAGTCAATTGTTGGTTAGCTTTATTATCTATGGTAGACCTAGAGAAGAACTTTTTTTGTTAAATCGCTTTGCACAAATGTATGTTTTTTGTGTCTATTAAAACAGAAGAAGCAACTTTTGATTGGCCTGCATATTTACTTGGCAATCAAAACGAACAACTGGTCGCTTCCATTGATTGGAATGAAGTAAATACTTGAGAAATTATCAAAAAATTTATCTTTAAGTTTATATTGATGTTTTGGTTTTCAGGAAGAAAGCATAGATGAAAATGATGATGATAATCATAATAAACTTGATTCAACATATCTTCAAAATAATGACAGTGAAGAAGTTCATATTGAATCAAAACTAATTGATGATATTGAACAACAGAATTAGTAAAGCCGAAAAAGATTGCGTTCCTGAATTTTTCAAAATTTAATTTAATTTTAATAGTTCAGTACTTGATCGTGAAATAATTTCATCATACTGGCATCAAACATTATCCGACGGTGTTTCACCGTCTCTTCGTGATTTTGCTCTTTTCTGGTAAAATATTTAAGCAAAATATGTTTTGAAAACTATAAATATGTATCATTTTAGGGATCAAACTATGATCAAAACAACTCATTTAGCTTATCGAGTGAATTCGCAAACATTAACTGAATATATTCTTATTCGAGAAACTCTTTGGTAAGATAATATCCTGCTTGTTTATTTTCACGACCTATACATATCTAAAATAAAGCTTGTGGAACGTTGTTTTTCTGGCTACACTTATTTTTTCTGTTCAACAATGTGGTTCTATGCGCCTTCTTTCTTGCCTATAAAAACAGCACATGTGAGCAATTGATAAGTTTTCTGTCTCACTTCTGAACTATATGTGTGAGAATGTGGTAAAAACAACATTAATACAGGCAGTTCTCAACAGTGCAATCGCATTTTCTCTGCAACAAAAAGAAATTACGTCTGGAAAGCGGTCACAGGCAACACACTGACATTTCCTCGATAGATTGATTTTTGTGAATTCAGACCAGCTTGAAAATGATGTAACTATGGAATTTATAAAAGAAAATGTTTGCTCTGTTGTAGCTAATTGTACGAAATATGGATTTTCTAAATAAAGAAAATTCATCTGATGTTAATATGTGTTTAATATAGGAAGCAAACTCATATTTAACTGCAATATTCAATACCGAGAATATTGATTTGATGAGTTGAAAGTATTTCCTTTTAATATTATTTTCAATATCAGAAGTACAAATACACGCGGAATAAAATGATCTTCAGTGATGTGTGTACGTGCTAATTAAAAGTTGAGAGCATAAAAATCAGTTCATTCTATCGTGTAAAATCCTTTCATTTGTTATAATTTAGGCTCTTAATGGATTCTACACAATTGCATATTTATGCTATTGACGAAAATAATCAAATGCGCATTGCTGATTTCGTTCGGCTATGCGATGTTACTCCCGTATGATATCGAAAATTCTTTTTCAAAATTTCAGTTGGATTTTTTAAAAAGGTCGCCATTCAAGATTGTTTAGAAAAATTTACAAAACTTTCTAATCAATTACGATTAGCAAATCAATTTTTAAAGGATACTCATCACTCATGTCGTACATTATCATCGTTTGCACAAGCACTTCAAGAACAAATCAATTTGATTCGTTTTCAACTAGCCGACGTCGAACGAAATTGTCTTAAGCAAAGTAAATTTCGTATATTTTTCTTGGCTTTGTTTTATCTCTCTTTCGTTTCATAGGTTGCACATATACAGTTTTATCATTTCATGAAGAATTAGATTCTCTTGGAATAATTTCAAAAGGAATATGTATTGAACGTATATTTGATCAAATATCATTTTATAATAATAAATCAAATTATGATTTAACACTCGAACTTATTCATGTTTTATATAAAAATCTTCTCATGTCAGAAATGATTAACAATTTAATATTTTTTGTAAGATTATTTTAATTATTAAAATTACTCTATTTATTAATAAACAATATTTTTAGAATTTTTTATTGCCACTGTTTATATCAAGTTGTCGAACTTATTTGGAAATAATTCAAAATTGGCTTGTGAATGGATTTATAGATGATCATTTCGATGAATTTTTTATTAAACGGTAAACAACCACTTTTAATCATAAATACTAGTTACAGGTTTCATGTTGCTAGTTTTACATTCGATGTAGAAAGACCTCTATCGGTACCCGGTATACAGAAAGTTGTCTGTAAATTTAGTTTTGCAAGTGCTAGCATAACACTTCAATGAAAATATCGTAAAAGATGCATTGGGTTAAGAGCGCGAACTCTTCCGAGATGTTTTACATAACGTTGACTTCAATGTGAATTTTCACCCAAAAAACATTTCTCTTAGGACTGAAGAAGAAAATCAATTGTTTTCATAAGGATCCGACGGCTTATTGGGCAAATGATAATACGTAGCACGGCGATCAAATTTTTCGTGACGATCAATATCGATATTATTTAGACTCTAGTTTCCGGGTACATATTGATTTTATCGTGTCTTATGCCGTTTCTAGCGCATGCCATAGGATCTAAAGACCACGTCGCAAACTATTAACGACAACTCGGCATAAGATCTCAGTATCATGCCTAAAAAACAACGATTTAAGGTCGTCATATTTATTAGGTCGATACAACATTCAGTAAATGAAAATTATTTTATTATTTTTACATTAGCTAATCAAGGAAGACTACGAAGAAATAATGAGAATGATTAATTGCGGAGCTTGGACATGTTCTACTTAGAAGATTCAATCAAGTTACAAATTGAACAAGCCTATTCAATAAATTTAAAATCCTTTTTTTAACATGAAGAATTTCAACATTCATATTATAAAAACTAAATGACGTGTGTCCGTGCAAGTCTCTATCTATATACTCAAAGATTTATGTTTTATCGAGTTAAAAAGAAAAAGGAAACATCGTAATTAGATTTATCATATGGATTTTTTTCTATGAATCTTTCTATGTTGAATCATATCGTGAAGAATTTGCTTTTTTTTTTATTAATTTTTCTATTTTAGAAAAGCTGATATACATGTGGAATCGATTGATTTTTGGCAATTATCATATACTGAACAAGTAGAAAATGCATCGTAAGTCGATCTAATAAGATTTTCTGAAGATTTATTTTGTTCGAATAATACAGATTAATACCAAAATGGTTAGCCTGCATCGTTCCATCACTTGTTAAAGCTGGTAAATGTGCTGAAATTCTGAAATCTAATGGTGTTCTAAGAAGTAGAGTACAATCTCAAAAATAGTGATTTAATCTCTCTTTCGGATTTATCCATTTAGACAATGAAGAATCACAATCATTTGTCGGCGAATTTTCCAAATATCTTCAAGAACATTTTAATTTGAAAAACATTTCTTGGAATCCTCTTAGCCTATTAAACAAATCAGAAGCAACACACAACATAAAGACTTTACACAACCAATTTATATCTTTTCAATTACCATTCGATGATGACGACGATAAGAAAAATTCCTTTTTAGCATTAGCATTCAATCACATGGAAACTCCAAAACGAAGTCTACTCGATATTAATCGGTAAGAAAATTTTGTTCAAAAAATGAATTGGCATTATTTTGTATTTCAGTCAGCAATTATCACTGGCATCAGATATTAATCAGTTAACAACCATTGAATGTATACTTCAAAATTTTAGTCAAGAAATTTTACTTACGAGATCTAACCAATTAATCGATCAATTAACAAATGATATTCTCAACCGCATGAAATATTTAAAGCATATCGAATATATACGAGATTTTTTTCTCTTTGAAAATGGTTCTTTCATGCATCAATTTGCTTTACGTCTTTATTCAAAACTATCACAAGCAATACATGAACGTTTAGATGCATTTTCTGTGCTGGTTTCATTCGATAGTACACTGACAATGTTTGGACTTGATAAAGTAACATATCCATTAAGTGTTATATATCAATCATCGAATACACCGTCAACCATACAAAAATATATTATACAAAATGTTGAATTAAAATATGATTTACCAAAAGAATTGTTCATTATTATTAAGCCGGAACAAATGGAAATTTATCAAAAATGTTTTGCATTTGTTCTGCAAGTGAAACAGGCGAAATATGTTCTAGATCAATTAGTATTCAGTGGTATGAAGAGAAAAAATGTGCATCTCAGGATTTTTCTTCCGAAGATTATCGATGTAATTCGAACCGGATAAGACCTTCTCGTCTATAAACAGCCTTTCATAATGCACGCTATAAATGTAGACATGCGATCCTACATGTATCAGGACAAAATTAGATATGAGTCTCGTACTGTGATTATTCGCTTGAACGAACAAACGGGCTTGTTAATCGGATAGAGTCATGATACTACTTTTGATTCTTTCTAAAGGATTTGAACTCATTGACAGAAGAATCCTTTTCGATGTAGAGACACTGATTAGCGAATTCTTCTTTGGGTGATTATTTTCGAAAACTTTCTTTGCCAGTCTGATCAGAATTCGGATGTTTTTTTGCCCAGGGTTGAACTTCTTTCGATCATGTACTTTATTGGAAAAATATTTACTAAGATTACCAGTGTTGGTTTATTTTTATTTTTCTCACAAAAGCTTATTATTATATTTTGTTGTGATAGAAATAGATCTATCGGATGGATTCAATTTTACAGGTAATACAAACTAGATCAGAATAGGAACATTTAGTTGTGAGCGAATAAGGACAGTTTGTTTTCAAATTTTAGATTACTATTAACTCTGATTATATGTGAATTATTATAGTATAGAAAGATGTTGTGTCAATGTTCTATTCCTAGCTCAGCACTTGCCATGAGAATACAAAAAGTAGCGTAAATACCTTTTTAAGCATGAAAAAGAACTAGTCCTATACGAATCATATAAGTATTCCTATGAAGAGGTAGTTGACCTTTAAACGAATCGATTAATTATTCATCCGTACAATAGTATTCTTTGAAACAGGAGGATTGTAGTTAGTACGATAATCGTTGAAACGGAATTTAAAATATTTCATTTTCTTTTCGGTACTGAGTTTTGATTCACTTAAAGTGGAACATCGATCTGTTTGCTTCTAATTTCCTGCTCCATGTGTTATTGATGATGTTTTTCTTTTAAGAATTTCGTTTGAAATCCCGCCTTCGTAATCAACGACTCTATCGTCATCAATCGTATCATCTTCATCATGAAATGTTTCTTTTACGCGCTCGTCTTCTTCATGCTGTCAACGCTGTGAATAATTTTGTGCTTATTACTGTATGCATTTTTTTTTGAAAATTAAAAATAAAAATTCTCTTTTTTTCCTATAGTTTCATACAGCTGGAGAACAATTTGTGGAGAAACATTCCAACAAATCAATTGATATTGAATCGATGATAATGTTTCATGAAAAATTTCTTACAGCTCTATCAATCGGTAGTTTATTACAACCTAAACAACAAGCAATACGTGATCATTTAATGAAATTATTTGAAATTGTTACTATATTTGCACGTCGATGGCAACTAGGGTTTGACTCAATTAAAATGGAGCATATTACAAAATTAAAAACAGAATTCAATCAAACGAAACAATTTATTTCAATTGTTCTTAAACCATTTTTACCTCGAATGATTGATTCACCGTTACGTGCACTTGCCTGTTCATTACAAGATGATTTCTATTCTAATGTTTAATTCATCTTTGTCGTGTGTCAGATAAAACTTTTTATAATAAAAAAATGCTTCACAAAAGAATGAGAAAAATTTAGCTGATTATAGATGGCATGGACTCCTTTTACTATTGAATAAATTTAAATTTTTTTCAACTATGAATATTCTTGTAAAAACTGTTAGTAATTTGCCAATGAAATTTTTTCATACTTCTTTCTGAAGTTGAAAGTTGGTATCTGTCTTACATGTTTCTCTGGCTAGGGATCCTTGGTTTATCAATGCTAGAGCAGTTCAACTCAAAATTGTATAGAAAATTTTATCTCAACTCTTCACACATTAGAACTAAAGAGAAAATAAATCTTTGAATTATTGTTACATCTAGAAAAATAAATTGCATAAAAATAGCACAGCAGAACTTTGAAAGAAAAATGTACGAAATATCTTATCAGTTATAGTCGAATATAGAAAACAATAGAGAGCTTGTTCATACAGACTGAATTGGATATAGAAAAAAAAAGCTGTTCTGTAAATTTGTTTCTTATCAGACACTTTTAAGCATCTCTGTTCAGGAAATAAACGTAGTACACATTTAAGACACCGAAATTCTGTATTTCAATCTCGTGTATGAATTTCAGTACCGTTTTTTGTAAGTCAAAACGGTAAGAACTGAAAGCAAGAGATTGATAAAGTACACGGTATTTTTACATAGAAGATTGTATGTGAGATAAAACGAAGATTTTGTAGAATGTGGGTGTAGCCGTCTCTTCGCTCCCATTGAAACCTCACACTTAGATACCACAGAATACATAAGTAATGCTAGTCGGAGCGTTCTAGATAAATTGATAATGCTATATAAAAGTTTTGTTGCTGCTTTGTTGACGAAGAGAAAAGTTGGGAATTTATACACAGTCAAATCGATGACATTCAACTTGACAGCTGAAAGATGCATTAGCAAAAGTGAAGGTGATTTCATGCGTTTGACATTGAAACACTTTGATTTTTCTAAAACTCCACCGGTGTACACGAAATTAGCCAAAGAACCCCATGTGAATTCGTAATGCTTGATTATTTCAAATCGAATCATTTGATTATTCAAACACGTATCTGATTTCGACCTTTAAACAAGTGCCATTATGTCTATCGACCTTTCGGTACTACAATGTGCCGAAGAGGAATGTCAATAGTGCACGTGACGTCAGTGCTCTATTAGTAAAACGCAATCTTTGTGAAGAATGGTGTAACGTAATTGAAAAATATATTTGTGCACGAAAACTTTTTGTTTTGAAATACTAAATGGAGTATGAAGATCACTTGTATGAATGCTTCTCACTTCCTTTTTTTCTTTGTCAAGATAAGGAACATCATACGCACAGTTAGGTACTGCTTTTCTACAACGTTGAACGATTGTTAAAGTGTTCGAAAATGATTGCAAGCAACTGCTACAACTTTAAACCATAACAAGAAAATATTCCATCATATTCAGTATCCAGAAATATTCTCATCAATGACACGAGTTTTTATTCTTCTAGTGTTTCTAATCATCGTTGGACATACAACTGGTTTGCGTCAAAGGCGTCAAGCAAATGGCTGCGGTGCTGAAGGAAGTGTCAACATTGATCGAAGTCTCAAATATGTCGGTGAGCACGTTATGATTCCCTGTTGTAATAGGCATGATATTTGCTATGAGACATGTGGTAAAACACAGAATGAATGTGATAGTGAATTTCGATCATGCATGAATGCTGCTTGTAATACAATCAAAGCCAGCGAGGGTGAATGGTGGATGGCCATGCGACGATTTCTTTGCCTTGCCGATGCTCTCGCAATCCACAGAATTGTTATCGCATTTGGCACTTCTCCTTACAATGCAACACAACAGAGCCATGGTTGTGAACATTTCGCTTGAATTTTTAGAAAGTCTTGATTAAACAACTATTCGAATCACTTGTGAAATAAATACAAAAATGATCCTTAAGAAGAATTTTCATGCTTATATTTAAGTTGGAATACTAAATTTTGTTGGCAAAGGCACTCACGTAAAAGAGTCATGATTAATAATTAATAATGTGCCAAGAACGTGAGAAAAAAATGCATTTGATCTCTTTTTTAATTGATTTTTCATTCATCTAACGAACAGCACGCTTTATTTGTGATAAACGTGGATCATCTATGTCAACAGCAGAACAACATGACAAAACTAGAGAGAATCATCGATCTGCATGCGAAAGAACTCGCATAGTTTCACCAGTGGATCCATTAGACAATTGATGACAACATTTTAAGGAGTTGATATAACAAAGAATTCGTTCAAATTATTATTATTTTTTCTTTCAAAATAGCTTCGTACATAACCAAATGATCTCTTTCAAAATGATTGAGTTTTTATTGATTCATTTGTGAACATAAAAAGTGCTTTGCTTTTCTCTTTTTAAAAGTCATTCTAATTGAATAGTTCTATATGATGAAGTTGCACCACTAAAAGAAATATTTGAATGACGAAGGAACCATCCGAAGTAATACATCGCTTTTGAGCTCAGACTTTTCACAATAAATGTTGAAAAACGTCTATACTTTGAAACATTCATATCTGAGTGATGCAAAGTTCAAATGCCATGAAACGCTTTACACGGCCTAGCCTAAGAGAGAACTGCGTTTGGGCAAAGTTTCAGGTCAAAATTAAAAATTCTGATTTTACTGCCAAAACAGGATCCTAAAGGAAAATTACAGCAAAAATGAGATATCTTAGCCAAATCACTATATAGACAGGTATCTTGTTAGGAATTTTCTAGCCTAGAGGTCACTTCTATATGATCAAAGTATGAGCTCAAGAAAGCGATGCATCACTTCGAGTGGTTCCGTCGCCCAGGGTTGTCGATTGTTTTGAAGAATGAGAGGGGCTAAACGTTTGGCAGAAAGTGCATCATCTTAATTTTGGACAGAAACTGAAAGACCAACGTTAAATTCACCGGTTTCCTGAGAGACTTTTTTCAACAGAATGTGTTTTTCTTTCGATTTTCTGCCAGAAAATATGTAATTGATACTTGAAGGCTGTGTTTCTGTTAGAAATGACTGTAAAACATTCAAAAATTTGGCACAAAGTCTGACAGGCTTTCAATTTTTGCGAGGGGTTAGCCCGTCCCATCCCCTCCCAAACCGACAAGCTTGGTTTCGTGAGCTAAAACTGACACCTACGTCGAAAAATATGAGGTCGTATATGAACAGCATTCAAATATGGTTGACGAGAGCACACAGTCATAGTTCTGGAGGTAGTATATGACGTCATATTTTTGAACTTGGGTACCTCATTTTCATTAAAAGAGGAGACGAAGGAAATATTATCTTGTGAATCAATAGATGATGATGGTGATGATAATGTAATTTTATTGTGAATAGGGCTGTTAAGTAATATTCTTTTCTTTTTAGTTACTTTGATTGAACTTAAAGATTATTGCACGGCTGCAAGTCGTACTCTGCATTTGATAACGCCATCTGAATTCCTTACAGGTTGTTTCGCGCTTTAGAAAAAAATAATAAAAACGCTGTTATTTCCAACTTCGATAAGTCACTTATTAGAGCGCTGCCCATGAAAAATATTTCGCAGAAAAAAACGCGGTTTCAAGCGATATTTCGAAGCCGCGGGACTCAGGCCGTTTATTCGTTTCCAAAACTCAAATCAACGTTCTGCCTCTCGTGGATTTTACAAGACGCGATTTTTAAAGTTGCAGAAAATCGCATCATATTCATAGCTGATCTCATTAGGATCTACACGATCTTGTTGTAAAGATCAGGTAATATATCCTTCGAGAGGGAGTGTACGATAAAGTTCCATTAGTTCTAAGTCACTTTGCAGCGACGAAGTTATGTTAAAATGAACATTAGATAGCATAAAAGTAGGGCAGGATAACCGGTTTGTTCTTACACATTCGAACATAACCAAACTGTATAAAAGGGAACATTAGTCATACATTGGTTTTAGCAACCAAAACGCGGTGCTTTGAAATCCTATGTTACCAGAAACAGTTTTTCAGATAGCTGATCATGGTACAGTGTGACTCTCATCAAGTTCGGCACGGCATGCGGGTTCTCTAAAATTCGAAGACGGGATACCGCGGTTTACGAAACCGCGTCGTGGAACATCGCGTTTACAATTAAGCTCACCACGCTCTATGAAATCGTGTTTGACCACTGTTTTTCTCAAAACATTTTTTCCGTAGGTTTTCATCACATTCACACCAGCACGCTCAAATCGCGATTCATTAAAAAATTTTGACTATTAGAAATTACATTAAGTTATTCACCAAGCAAATAAAAATCGCACAGTGGTGTCTTTTAAATAATTGAGAAAAGTGCCTATTTCTCAAATTAATAATTCGTACTCGGCTTGGGTTTCACACTGGCGAATGCATATTTATCATAGAGTAATCCATTTTGTGTCTATGCACTTGCATGCTGTCTAGCAAGTCACGTAATAATAATGCTGTTTTCTTCTCTTTGATAGCTAAGAAGAAACTCATTCCCACTTCCATCCATATGTCATACATTTTGTCCTTGACAAGTAGAACCTCGACAACTAGGCTATCATATCTGATTTGAAAAATCTTTGCCTGAAAGAAATCAAGAAAGAAAGAGTGTAAATTCAAATCAGTTGCGTTAGACTACATTTTCTTGGCTAATTGACTTTTTGATGAGACATTCGTATCCATTGTTTTGCTTTATCTCTCTCGTTGTCTGTTTATTAGTAAACATTTTACTATCCTTTCATATTGTACAATCTTTCGATTCAAATTTACTTTTTTGAGGAAACATTTCTTTTAAAAAGCGTTGAAATTCCCAATGAATTCTACCCTGATACGTATAATTTGTACTTGTACGATCGTTAATACTCAAAAATTTTGGCATTCGTGATCGCCAACGGAGCTCGTTAAAAAATTGTGTTGCTTTCTTATAGTTATTCGTCAGTACTTGATTACAAAAATCTTGTCCGTCTGGAGGACATGCATTTTTCATTCGTCGCTGTTCTGCACAAGCATTTGATTGTTCAATTAAAAATCGTGAAACGAAATAGGTTGGATGAACGTCATTCATGTCACGAAATCGATGAGATGATTGCTCACGTTGAATATCAGCAAATTTAGATACCCAAACCTCTTCAGCAATCGATTTTCGAATAGGATGTGGAGCATGCGGAAGAAAACGCCGATCACTATCGTTAACAAATGCATTTACTTTAGAAAGAATACCATCCAGTAAAGCATTTGTATTTAGCATTGCTTTCTTATGAATATTTAATGTAACATTAGTGTTCGATGTTAAACGATCGTCACCATAAATCACCGGACATCTTCCATCCGTAAAAAAATCTTCAATGAAAGTTGGGCTCCCAAGTATATAATCATCGTTGAAATAGAGATAAAATTCTTTTAAGTGTGGTATTTTGTGAAGATTGGCTTCGATAGCATGAGAATTAAATGTCGGAAGGTATCTATTGTCGATTATTTCTCGTGTTGAGATCACACGAAGTTGGGATTGTGGCATTGAAACATTGAGCCAATTTGGTATTTGATCAGTTACAACATAAATATGTCCTTGAAATGAAGGCATAAATTTTTCAATACTTCGTAATGAAAAGCAAAGCTCATTATTGTCTTTCGATAGACTTGATGAAACACTGTGGCGTTCTTGAAGACGATTACTGCCCAGAAGTGGTCGATCAATGGAAAACCAATAGTCTTTCTGTCGAATATACTCTTCATTACTGCCATTGACATATGTATATACAATATCGAAAAGAAAATCATCATATCGCAACAGTGATGCCGACGAACCATAACCTGGTTTCAATAGCCAAGTTATAGTATTTTGAAAAATTACAATAACGGAAAGGCCAGTGATGAGCAAAACTTTGACACTATTACCAAATAACTAGAAATATAGAACAAAAGTGATAATTGATTCTAGTTTCATTGGAATATCCTACAAAACAAAAATATCTATTCTAACGTTGACAAAGTTTTATAGGGTAGAACTTTCAGTGAAAGATGAATTACGAAATTGTTCGTTAAGTAAAAGCAACAGGAATTGTTTTTTTTTGTATTCACCAAAAGAAAAGTTAATATGTAGTACAGTATATTTTCATTTTTAACTAATATTGATTCCGAATGCAATTACTCTAGTTTAGTATGTCCCAGAGAGTGAACTTTTTCATTATATTTTTAAGTTATACGATAAAATATTTCATAAAATAGAATCTACATGCCAATGAAACGTTTTTCAATAGGAAATGAATTGAAAATTTTATGTTAGAAAAATTACTAAAGTAAATTAATTGCTAAAAATAAAAGATGAGACAACCACTATTCAGCGACACATTTTACTTACCATTGTTTCTTTACCTAAAATAATGTTTTACATCATTGTGATGGAAGCGTTTTCGTATATTTTTTTATACGCTAATCCTTTGAAGGGTACCAATCTGTGCCTATTCTATTAATCAAAAAGGGATTCCACTACTCAAGGTCAGAGAAACAAAAAACAATTACCGTTGTCTCTTCAATAGATCAGAAAGCAAACAAAAAAAAATGCTTCAAGTCACTTTGACTAGTTTTCAAGGGTTTGTTATGCGTTTAGTAAATGTGAAAGTTCAAATTGACATCCGAGTAAAAATTCCGGTGGCCTGAAAGGGAGTTATAAGTGTATCATCTAGCATCGTTTAATTAATTTAGTGAAAATTATGAACTGACACTAGAATATCAGAGTTGTGGCCTGTTTTTGTTACTAGGTGCTGTTCGAAATGAATAACGAGAAATTTCGTTCAGCGAAAAACTAGGAAACTACAATTAACGTTCTATCTTGGTCGTTTAAATCAAATAAAAACGATGATTACTTTGTTTCAACTTGCTAAACTGTGAAAGAATTTAACTCAAACAGTTTTTTATATTTTATTGTATCTTTTTGCTTTTTTTCGCAATGATTTCCAGCCGACAGCAGCAACTGAATGAATGTTACATTAATGGATTTTATTCGGGTGAATCTATAATAGTGTTTTGCTTAATTTCATCATAGCCTCTTTGGCAATAGAAAAAGATAGCATGAACTATCTGAAATTTTTTTCTTGCTTTCTGGCCTTTTAATAATAGGTTGATTCCATCAATTAGCTATTAGTTTCAAGGACACTTCGGTGTTTACGGCAGAATATTTTTTCTACCCAGGAGTGATCAACGAATCATATTAGAGCAACAGTTCAAATCTTTAAGAACATGATGCTTCCGTTTTATGAATTCAACTTTTCTTTTTCATCTTCTTATAGTTGTTTAATATTGCCGAAGAGATATTTGGGGTTGGTGGAAAATGTCGAAAAGGAAAATATCGAAGAGGAAAACGTCGAAACACAGAAATAAAAATATCCAATAGATTGTGAAAGAGAAAAATGTCGAATATATTGAAAGGGGCCAGCTGTAAAATTGATTTTTTTTGTTTTCATTGGTCTCTCTTCGTCCGGCATATTGTATTTTACATTGAATAAAGAAAATTTTGTGGAAAGAAATATATATATGTCGCAGTAGAAATTAAAATTCAGTAGAATTTAAAATTCTACTAGTAGAAATTGAAATTCTACTGAATTTTACCTATAGTAGAAACTAAAATTTCAATTTCTACTAGTAGG